GGGGGGGGGGGGGGGTAAGAGCATTTTTTTTTTGTCCTGAAAGTTTGGCCCATCGATATTTCGTATCGTTGGGGGGGGGGGTACCCCATTAGCACATTAAAAAAATACACACACACTCAAAATTGAGGGGAGGTTCGACCCCCCCCCCCCCCCCCCCCCCCCCCCCCTGCGTGCGCCACTAACTTCTTGTATTACAAAATATAAGTTAAGTAGAAAATTTATTAACTTATCATGTCACAACCATCTCCCGAATCAAACTTAAATTCTTTAAATCTAAACTCAAAGCCCCACAAAAGCATGAATTTTTACTTGCCACGTAGCCTATACATGTGTGTATGTATGCATGTATGTATGCATATATGTACCTGTATATCTTTTCAAAGTTTATTTGATTTACCAAGGACCTATCATTTGAAATTTGTTTTAGTATGGACCTTGTTCATCGTTTGTGATTCAGAGGTCACTAAAACCATGAATACAAAGTGAAATGCAAAAAGGGAAAACGAAGAGCATTAGCATATACCGAATGCTTGAAGAAAATCCAATGAAGTAATAGAAATTTATGAATTCTTGATTTTGTATATTATGTTTATGGTTTCCTTTAGAGCAGCTCTCTATTTTGAGTATGAAATGATTTTTTTTTTTAAACTAAGGAATAGAGGGTCAACCATGTGACCATATATCGAATGCGCAAGTCCAGGCTATGAAGTCACATATTACGTAAGCTCCAAGTCTATTTGATGACTGTATCAAGGTGATATCTCTACTACAGTTTACCTCAGACAAAACATAAATATTTCACAATTCCACTAAACAATTCATTTATTCTTGATAACGAATGGGTGGACATGTACCTTCCACTTACACAGACGATACTTTTATGACATCAAAAATAATGGCATAATAAATATTTGATACAAATTAATTATTCTGCACCAAGGCATAATAAAAATATTGGGGCATTGTTACATATTACTTCATTATTTAAGATTTAAAAAATGCGGATTGGCAGTAGTAGACCTTTGGTTGTTCCGCCCTTGAGAGGACATCGATCTGCAAGTTTCCTCCACTGTGTCCTGTCGTGTGCTTTTTTATTTTGCTTGATTCAGTCCGTCTTTTCGGTTAATGTCTAAAATAATGACAATCTATCGATCATTATCTCCATCCAGACACGCAATGAGCATTCCCATCGCTTATGTCTCTGCTACCTGGTTCATCGATGTCAAAGCAAGGAATATTTAAAAACATTAAAGAGAGGTTGTGGAAACCTTCTAAAAAACGACAAAAATTACAGGATGAAGACGACTGGTGTGATGCTCTAAACTATTTGTCACTGGACAGCGATGACGAATACTTTGATGCACCAGAGCCAGAGCAGCAAGTTAAACCACTCCCGCCGCGGAGAAAGAGAAAAATAGCCCGCGGCAAAGAATTGTCAGAAAATAAACTTGAGAAAAAGAGCGAGATGCATCAACCTCCAATTCGGCCCTGCACAGCACCCTCCACGTCTGGAGTGCGAAGTAGGAGAACATATCGGGAAACAAGTGAAGAACGACAAGGCCAGGTGAGCCATGCCCTGTATTTGAGTGCCGTATAATATTATTTTTTAATAATGCGTTTTCTTTAATAATAATTTTAATACTACTAATACAGGTAGGTATTTGTAATAATAATACAATGATTATTTTAATTCATATAGCGCAGCTACATTCATATTCTAATGCGCTGTATTATGCCATCTATCTAGAATTTATATTTCGAGACGCACATGGAAAGTCGAGAAGAAAGAAGATTCGGAATAATTGTCATATAATTGTGTCAAGCATTGCTAAAAGAGGTAGGGTATGAACTTAGATTTGATGTTAGAGTTCACAAGAACAACGGGAATTTGTTCCGTAGAAAAGGTGCTGTAGCCGAGAAAGCGCTTTCCACAGGCGATTTGGGATCTGAAGAAAAAGTTGTTGCGATGAACTTAAGATTGTTTGTGTTGAGTGGGTTTTAAAATCTGTTATTTGTTAAAATTATTTCCAGGGTTCTCGGCTACAACCGCACAGTGGCGTTTCTCGACTTGGTCAGCAAGATTCTAGCACTTCCACTCCGAAGAATACAAATCCTTTAGGTGATAAAGGATACAACACTGCATCTTCATTCTCTTCAGAATCGGACAATCAGGCTGGTTTCAAATGGTCACCAACCATGTCGGGTTACGCAGATAAAGGTATATTGTTTAAAAGTTAAATTTCCTTCTCAAAATGAAATTCTTTACCTGTTTTCAGCTGTTTAGCCACAGCCTTTGTCGGCAATGTGATCCGACTTGACCTGACGTAATGGACAATCACCTTTATTTCTCTAAATAAATACATGAGGAGCTACAAATTTCCGAATGCCTATGAGGCTATGACCGGTTTATATTATATATAATTATATAAATATATATCGAAAATGCTGAAAACAGGGACAATGTCCAACGAGATGCAGAGTGAAAATAGTAGAAAGTGTATCAATTCACAACGCTAGGTGGAATACACAAGAGGCGTGGATTGAACTTCACAAACGCTTTCCAATCATTCTCATCAGGTGAAGTGAGCATTCATGATCTTACAGGGTTATACCTACCTGGCTGCCACCGTCAGTTGGCGATTGGCGTCCACATCTGCACATCTTCTTGTTGTCTTTCTCCATTTGTTTCTATCCTGTGTTAAACTTTTGGCTTCTGAATATGTGAGACCTGTCCATTCTTTGATGTTATCAAACCACAGTCTGCCTCTTTTTCTTTTTCCTTCTACTTGGCTTTCTATTATTTGTGCTGCTAAGGGGCTCCCACTGCCACGCAGGGATATATTTATGTATATATATATATATATATATATATATATATTACATGTATCTATATATATATATATATATATATATATATATATATATATACAAGTACAAGGTTACACAGTTGTATTCAGATGAGGTCTAGGATTATTAGGCTTTCCTAGTTCTTTTTACGACTTTGATTTCCCGGGTTTTCCTATTTTCTTCTTATATGATTAGATGTTAATGGTGCAGGTATAGTCTGTATTGTTTGAGATGACTTGTATGTAAAACTTAACATAACATAATATAAATGAGTTAAACAAGGAGCCTTTCATATTGTGTCTTGAGTGTGTGGGAATGTTATACAGAGATGACTCGCTTAGACACAGTATATTGATATAATGGTAATTGTAAGAAAGCATTTTACCCCCAAATGCAGGAAATACAATATGTAAAAAATGAAAATGTGAAAATCGCACCCCCACCCCCTTGAGCACCAGGGGAGGGGACCCGTCTCCAAACAAAGATGAAATTAATGATTTGTTTTGCCTGTTTTTTTCTTCAAACAGATGCCCCCCCCCCCCCGGTTCCGCCACTGGGTTACACCACGTATTCTTTCGACAGGATAAATTAAAAGAGGGCATAGGCCGTTACCCCCCCCCCCCCCCCCCTTAAAAAATAATAATAATAATAATTTTAAAAAAATGGAAAATCCACTGCTGGGTATACTTCTGTATAGGTCTGCATTCATCTCTAAGGCTATCTTTTTGTTCAGCTTCTTACTCATCATGATCCTTATTCCTCGTGTATTTGTAAGCAGTAAACATTTAATGTGTACTATTTTACAGGTCGTCATTTTTTTCTTAACATTCAAGGTGGAATACCCGACAGCAAACTTGAAAAGCTGGCCAAGGCTCTTCCGGGTGAGGAGTATAGAAATGTTCGTTCGCTAGGTCAGAATCTCGGGTTCAACCGTACAAAACTATATGGGTATTGTGGATATGGTGGTAAACCAAAAGATAGTACTGGAATCTTGCGCATGTTACGGGACTGGAAAGAGAACACCCCTGATGCAAAGCAGATATCTGGTTTACTGGAAGCGCTAAAGAAAGCAAACCTGAAACACCTGGCAGATGACTTCCATTCACAAGAAGGTATGAAGTTTATATAGTTATCTTCTTTCTGCCGCTTAGATAACCATAAACATGGTCGAATAGGTAATTTAAAAAAAATCTACCCAAGGCAATTTCAACATCCTTGTGCGTCACATATTGAACTTAATGTACAAGGATGACAATCACATATTAATGAGAACATGATTTCCATAGGCAACACAGAGTAATCGATAAGTATTGATAACTTGCATAAGGTTTTTTAAGTAGTTCAAACTCCGAAGTTAATCACCCTTTTTTTATAATTCGAATTATACAGGTCAACCTTTCGACCGAAATGATCTTTCAGCTCCTAGCACTTCCACTACGAAGAAAACAGAACCAGTTCGTTCTGGTTACGGACGATCCAACACTGCACCTTCATCCTCTTCAGAAGCGGACGTTCATGTTGGTCCAAAACAGTCGGCAACCAGCGATGACCCGTCCCAGTCACAACTCCCCATGAAGGATTACACAGATAAAGGTTTGATAGTTATTTTGTTTGAAAGTTATATTTTCATCTCAATGTAACATTATTTACCTTCTTTTACCTTAAATTTTCAGCTGTTTAGCCACATTTGTCAGCGATGTGACCCCACTTGATATTTCTGAAGTAATGGACAATGACCTTCAATTCTCTCAATGAATACGGGAGGCCCTACAAATTTCCGAATGCATGTGACACGTATATATAATTTTGTATATAATACATAAAAATTAGCAATAGACACATGAAGCACAATAAAACAACACTGGAATTGGAAAAATGTTATCCTTTATCTTCGTTTCTAAGCATCAAAAAATGAATACGTATTAACTGAGTTTCATTAATTACCTTTGTTTCATCCTTCAAGGCGGACTCACTGAAGCCAAACTTAAGACAGTGGCTGATGCTATCGGTGATAATTTCGACAAGATACGTCTGCTTGGAGAAAAGCTTGGTTTCAGCCGCTACTGGATTAAAAATGGTCCTCGCGGTATATCTGGGACTTTGCGTATGTTGCATGATTGGAAACCCAGAACAGCTAAAGCAGAACAGATGCCGAAATTGTTGGCAGCATTGAAGTCTTCACAACTGCAAAATGTGGCTGATATGTTGGATCGAGAACAAGGTATATCTTCTACATTCTCATTTATTCCATCTGTGTGTAAAAACTATACATACAGAGGATAATTTGCTTCACATGCCGTATGTTATTTTTTGCAGCTATATGCAAAGGCGGATCTAGGACTTTGTGAAAGAACAGGGGTATATAATGAAGAACCGAATTTGTTTTAAAGCCAAAAAATGAAAAATGTATATATGCACATTTGAGGTGCCTTTGTGGTTTAGTAAAAGGAGCACAAAACAAAAATTGGGAGTACTAGTTTTTCCTGTGTGTATACGTAACATTTATTTCTTGCAACTCTTTGCGCCTGTGTTCGTCATACCCTTTCTTATAATTATCATGATATTGTATTAGTGCGTACATTTATGAAGATAAATGATTTCAACATTTATTTTGGACTTTCTTTCTCCACTCCCTCCTCCCCCCCCCCCCACCCTTCCCTCCCTTTTAACATTTACTCACTGTGTCCGTTGCTTCATTATGTTCAATATTTCTGTTCGTCCTGTCATTATGGTGCCGCATTTCTGTGATCACAATATCAATTATACTGTTAATGGCACATTGTAAAAGATTACTTTTTAGTGCATTTAAATTATGGAGATTTGGCAAATACTTTGATATACAATGATCAAATAGCTAGTAAAGCATGATAATTTCTTTCCAAGACTACCGAGAAGAATGCCGAAATGTTTACCCTTTACAGTAACTACCCATCACACTGAAGTATATATATATATATATATACAGTTAAGTTATCAGTCATGCCTTTCGTTATCAGGCTCAGAATATTGATGAAATCTATACGAGCTGAGACGTCTGTAAAATATTTAGTATTATTATATAAGTATGAATTATGATTTTGTATGCCTTTTGCAAACTTCCCATATTTTATACTTTAAACCTTCAACTTCACTCTCTCCTCCTTAATTTCCTCCTCCTCTCTAGTGGTGTAATTCTTTGCTTCCGGTTTGTTATGAAAATATAGCCGTAAGACGATGTCCAAAGACAATTATTTAGTTAACTTTATTGCGGACAAAATTCGGTTATGAAATACCTAGAATAAAAGACACATAAATATGTATATATAATGAAATGTTGAGAAGGTATTTTCTGATTTGTACAACCGTTAAGATAGTCATTACTATCTTCCCTACTTTCCCTAGAACTGTATGATTCTATAGCTCAGAAGCCAAATAACGTGAAAAGACAGTTTAGTCTAGATCGACTGTTCGAAGTCATGTTATTCACACATTCTTCTTCATTTTTAAATTAAAATATAGGCAAGTTAGAGAAGCGAAAGGTAACCGTAACCCTAATGACATCATGGCACCTTTCCAGCATAGAGGGTTTGAAGCAAAAGCTTATAAACTTGCGGAGGGTTCGCCCTGATCTCATAGAAGCCGTGAAGGTCCTTGTGCTCCCCTTCAGTGGGTTACAACGCTTCACATTCACTGAGGATGTTGATATCATGGTTCTCTGCCACTCTATCGTGAACAGGCGGTTCGGCATCACCAACGTAACAGACTCCCTCTACGATGAGTTCCTCGATTACTGTAACAAGACGCTTGGTGAGTTAATGAAAGAAAAGGTCGAGTTATAGTAAAGATGAATAAATAGTTCATTAGCTTTCTCATACTTTGTATATCAGTCATTTTAGTAAAATTGTCCCCTAAAAAGGATTGGTCGTCAAATGATTTCAGATACGAAATCTGACGAGAACTGTAGGTGAAAAGTTTGTACCGAACTTTCAAGCCTGATGTGTTTTCAAACCCATCCCGGAAACCCATATACCTATATCTGTGTGCAATGCATATGGTTTTTAGCAAGAATGAGTCAATTTATTTCCATTTTGATCATTCAAGAACTTTACACTTTTACACTGTTGCCTACATAGTTGACATTGGTTCATACAAAATTTCATTGAATTTGAAATGTTGATTTCTGGAATTTGGTCTCTCGTTCTAAATTCCTGCTCTGAACTTAAGATTACCATGACTCTAAAACATAATAGTCTTTTTCACAATACATAATAAAATAAGTCTTGGCATATATTGGGGTACATCTCAAAACTCAGCCTATCACGTACGGGTCACTGCAAATGCAGTTCTTAGGAACTACATTATTGTTAACGATGAGATCAATAATTTGGGCGGATGAAAGAGTTGGAAAGGGTTATCAAAATTTTATCACCAAAGTTAAAGATAATACTCATCACTATTGTTGCTGACAACAGTATTGGAAGAAAGAGATGAAATTTAATGAACTCATTGAGAGTCACGCAAATGATCTCCCAGTTCCACAGTGTATTTTATATGCGATATGTTTACTGAAGTCTTCGAGATCATTTAAATATTTCGAGTGAAGATTCACTCTAAATTGATGTCAAAAGGCTGTTAATGTTGCTAATCGAGACCGGAGATTGTTGATTTTGCAAAATGTTGTGTTCCACACAGCAATCTTTCTGTTAATATTAGTAACATTTGTTTTCTGCCAATTGACGCGCGACCGTGCAAATTGGTCCTGGTGGCGAATGAAAAGTTCAGTGTACGGTTTGTATAGTAGATGTTATAGGAGTACGATTTGCCAATGGTTCTTTTTGTCTTGTCCTCTTGTGCCTTCTAGGAAAAGAAAGAATCGTGGTCATTGCTCACGATTTCAGACAGGAGAAAGATGAGGTGAGGGCAGTGACGATGAATACTTTCAAGCACACCCAGTGGTCCACCTTTGAGAAGGCGGGCCTGGTCATGATCTGCGGGATGATAGATAAGATCCCAGAGATTCAGGAGAAAGATTGGAAGAGCTTGGAGAAGTTCCTGGAGGACGCTTCTAAGTCGACTCCTACAAATGGTGAGTAAGACATTTCTTGATTTTTTCTTTTTACGAAGTAATTTATTTTTTATAATTACGTGTAGAAGAGATATCTCACATGGAGAGCTATCATTAAGCTATGCTATTCCATATTTCATACTGCTATTGAGAGCAACCGGCAATGAAGGCGTCATACAGTTAAAGTTTGCCCTACTCTGATCAATATCAAGCCTATTACATCTTTAACTATAGGTTTATTCAATAGGCCATGTGATGTTTCTGAGTGACAAATATCACCGTTCCATTATCTATAACTATCTGTGATGTTATTGATCTCCTTAATCCTCTTGATTTACGTCAGATACTATTACTCACATAATTATGTCACAAGCGTATAACATCTTTAAATCACGTACATGGCTTTTAGCCATTTCTAAGACAATTTTCTTGTCGCCGCCTATTATTGATGTATTTTTAAATGAATACATGTATTTCATAACTATTTACAAACATTCTTTTATTCTGACAACAGCTGATATCAGTCAAACAACGCTTCCCAAGATAAACACTTCTGACACCAAACAAAAACTAAACAAATCTGAAAAAGATAAGAAAGGTATGTATATCTTTGGCACGACATCATCAGGTGGCCCTGTTGGGATGGTAACGAGATCCCACAAGCTCGCCATCTATATCTGCACCTCGTGGGGGCTAGACAGTGTCAAAGGACTCAAGGAAAAGTTACAAACTTTGTTAAAGCAATCGTTCTCAAGTTATGAGATCAAGGAGCAAGTGCTGCCTTACAGTCGCCCGGAGGATTTCAAGTTTCCCCCGGAGGTGGATAAAACTGATGCCATGATTCTCTGCCATTCGGTGCAGAACAGGGGTTTCTCCATCACGGATGTTCAAAACTCAATCTACGACGAGTTCCTGAAGTACTGCAATCGAGTCTTTGGTAAGTGAAAATCTGGTATTTTGGGGTATAACTATTTTATAACACTATAGCTCGATTTATCTTTCATTCAAATTGATAGATTTATCTTACTCGATTGGTTGCATAATTTTTTTTGTATGCCTTGACTGGTTGACTGATTGGTGGGTTGTATGACTGAGTCTTTGAATGTTCGCTTTATTCAATGATTCGGTGAGTGACTGATTGAATGGGTAGGCCTATTATTGTTTGCAGTATGAATGGTTGATTGATTGTGTGATGTATTGTATGAGCGCTTGATTGTGTAAGCGATTGATTGTGTGAGTGATTGATGGTGTGAGTGGTTGATTGTGTGAGTGATTGGTTGTGTTAGTGATTGATTGTGTGAGTGATTGGTTGGATTAGTGATTGATTGTGTGTCCGATTGCTTGTGTGAGTGATTGATTGTGTGAGTGATTGGTTGTGTGAGTGATTGATTGTGTAAGCGATTGATTGTGTGAGTGGTTTATTGTGTAAGCGATTGATTGTGTGAGTGGTTGATTGTGTGAGTGATTGATTGTGTGAGTGATTGATTGTGTGAGTGATTGCTTGTGTGATTGATTGGTTGTGTGAGCGATTGATTGTGTGTGCGATTGCTTGTGTGAGTGATTGATTGTGTGAGTGATTGATTGTGTGAGTGATTGATTGTGTGAGTGATTGATTGTATGAGCGCTTGATTGTGTAAGCGATTGATTGTGTGTGCGATTGCTTGTGTGAGTGATTGCTTGTGTGAGTGATTGATTGTGTGAGTGGCTGATTGTGTGAGTGATTGATTGTGTAAGCGATTGATTGTGTGAGTGATTGATTGTGTGAGCAATTGATTGAGTGAGTGATTGAGTGAGTGAGTGATTGTATGAGCGATTGATTGTGTGAGTGATTGAGTGAGTGATTGATTGTATGAGCGATTGATTGTGTGAGTGATTGATTGTGTAAGCGATTGATTGTGTGAGTGATTGATTGTGTAAGCGATTGATTGTATGAGTGAGTGATTGATTGTGTGAGTGATTGATTGTGTGAGTGATTGAATAAATTCAAAGTTATTGTAGAGGTATGTTTTGTATTTTTTAAATTTGGGGCCACATTAGCCGCATGATACTGTGTGCTTGTGTAGTTGATGAAGGAGATAATTATTTGAAAACTTTTGTGTAAGCGATTGATTGTGTAAGCGATTGATTGTGTGAGTGATTGATTGTGTAAGCGATTGATTGTGTGAGTGATTGATTGTGTGAGCAATTGATTGAGTGAGTGATTGAGTGAGTGATTGATTGTATGAGCGATTGATTGTGTGAGTGATTGAGTGAGTGATTGATTGTGTGAGTGATTGATTGTGTGAGTGATTGATTGTATGAGTGAGTGATTGATTGTGTGAGTGATTGATTGTGTGAGTGATTGATTGATTGTGTAAGCGATTGATTGTGTGAGCGATTGATTGTATGAGTGAGTGATTGATTGTGTGAGTGATTGATTGTGTGAGTGATTGAATAAATTCAAAGTTATTGTAGAGGTATGTTTTGTATTTTTTAAATTTGGGGCCACATTAGCCGCATGATGCTGTGTGCTTGTGTAGTTGATGAAGGAGATAATTATTTGAAAACTTTTATCAATTACGTGATGGGTTTATCATGATATGAATTCATTATTTATATACGTGACTGATGGATGTTTAGTGATTTTGATCCAGAAATCTTCAAATCGTCCCTTTTATCATCGTCAAACGTTTCTTTTTATTTTAGACCCAGTATCATCTAAATCTAGTACTAACCATCGACGGACAATATTCAAGTCATTTTGTACGTTTCATTTGTTCTATTCTTCAGGGAGAAGTCGCATGGCTGTGATTGTACACGATTTCGAGTACAAGCCTGAAATCCTAAAAATCCAGCTTGAGACAATTCACCGAACCCAGCCGACGACTTATGAATTGGCAGACTGTGTAGCTGTGGCAGGACGGCTCAACGTTCCCGATGTCCAACTCTTTCACGATAAGTCGACAAGTTTAGAGACGTTTGTCGGGAGATTACTCTAAATACGATGGCAAAGACTTTCGAGAAAACAACCCAAGGCAATTTCAAAAAGATATTATACTTCCCAAATTGAACAAGATCGGATTACGCTACATCACTGTTATGTTCGGACATTTAAATAGATGAAGGGAAGGGCCACTGAAAATTGCCTCATGATGATTTTGCAAAATTCTTGTGCTGATAACTTCTTTTTGAAAAAGATGTCAGTTGATAAACATTTGTCCCTGTCTGCGGGACTATTGGGATAAAAAAAAAGAGAGAGAGAGAGAGAGTCGTCTGAGCGAAAACTTTAGGCATTGACCCTACTATCATGGATTAAGTTAAGTAATAGATGCTCATTTGTTGCGTTGTGACGTGCTTCTCGTAATTCTGCTCGCACATGCCTGCTATACAAAAAAATTGATGTTTTTCATAATTATTTCTGTTATTAAACTGTCCCATTGTTTAGGTATCAAATTCATGAATATGTAATTGCTTCCATGAAGTGTGTCGAACCGGACTTGATCTTTCATGATTAATCTGCCGTGAAGCACTGCAAAAGTAAACAGGCTAGAAGTTTTTAATCAGCTTCTCTTTATAGGCACATCGTTGGATCGGTGTATTGAGCGCTATATAAAAAAAAACGTATTATTATTATTATTATTATTATTATTATTATAAGGCCAGCAAATGAAGAAGTCGAGCTGATGCTTTTATAGGCTTGTATATACGGCATTGAGATCGTTTATCGTTTGATGAATCTCCTTGAAATTGATGGATTTACCAAGTTTGGACCCCCTACATGATTACAGAAATTGATTTCATTTTTAGTGATAGAAGATTAAAACGTTTTTCAGTCTTCTCCTCCCCGCCCCACCCCCCCCCCCCCCTCCCTCCCTTTCTGTCTTATATAAAGTTCTGCTGTCCTGCAGTACAAGAAATGAACACATTTACTGTATGAATACAAAAATATGCTTGTCCATTAATGGAAAAGCGATTATACGAATATTTCTCATAAATTATGTTCCCACATAATCTAAGAAAACGGATAGTTCAATATATACAATTTTCACCAAGCAATAACATGTTTATTATAAGCCATTTGATGTGATTTTTGGCTTAGCGTGCAAATGTATATTTGTCCGTTGTTATTTCATGCTCGAGTTGGTTGGTTCAACTTGATTGTATAAATACGTTTGTTTTAACAAAATAAAAATTGCATCAGGTGATTTTTTTTTCGGACATATATCTCATATTTGTTGTCATATTCAATCGCATACATTGTAAATATATGTAAATATGTTTCCATTGACAAAAAAATGAAACTTATTTAGTGTCTTGATAGAATTGCTGCTGGAGTATGAAAATAACTTCAATATTAGGACCTATTTCATATGCAGGACATGATACAACATAATAAATATCATGGTGAAATATCAGTGGAACTCAAGAGCGATACCAATTAATGTTTGCTTATCTCAAAGAAATAATGTTCGGATGACGTAAACGTTATTGTAATTTTCACACATCTGAAGATTGAAGTCTATATAAACTACCCTTTAGAAAGTCTGTGCGATCATGTTTTCGAGAAACGCGAACAAATTGAGAACATTTTATAGAAGAAATCACTTAAGTGAAATAGGTTTGTAGTGAAAATGTAGTGACATAAGAATAATCATTATGAAATAATCCAGAATCATTGTGCCTTAATGATTTGACCTGAGCCAGCAACTGATGCTTTATAAGTATTAGTAGTAGTTAAAGTAGCAGTAGAAAATGCCGCAGTAGTAATAGTAGAAGTAGTAGTAGTAGTAGCAGCAGCAGCGGTAGGTGTAATGTTTAGTAAATTCATTAGGATTTTTAATTATATTCAATATCATTTAAAAAATGTTATGACTACTTCAGAATCTCAGATAAGGGTACATTTTTACTCCCCTACCCATACTCGCACCCCTATTCCCTTATAAATGAATGTGTTTAACCAATGAACTGATGAACCTCTATTGCTATGCACGACAATTTTTTTCAAAGAACCGGATATAGGAGGCCTATATCCAAGTAACGCTAATCATTGAGGATCTTCATGGATCTTGTCTCAAAATGTCGCTAATCTTAGAAAATTCTGGTTCGTGATATGTCCGATAAATTTCCCCTTATGTCCTGAATATATTTACATTATTATTTGCGAAAATTTCAAAACGGTTATCCTTACAATGTACATCCATATTTGTAGACCAATCGGTATTATTAATATGCTGAGAACTTATAAAAGGCATTGTATGTATATAATTTAGGCATGAAATTATTTTATGCTGGACGTTGAAAAATCAACTTACGATTGGTTGGTTTCAACAAAAGTTCAATCCTTCGTGTAGGATTTATTATTATTTTATTTCATTCATTGCACAATTAAATTCATGAAATTATGTGATCGGGATTAATTGGAACGATGAGTCTTTCACAGTTTTGAATTGTAAAATCGTACATTACATTTGATATTCATTTTATCCATCTAAGGAACTAACACTTCAACAAGCTCTGCTTCTAGTTAGTTCCTCTTTCCTCGTGCTAATTCGATTATATTTGTCGTTTCATTGCATATTTTTTTTGTAATATACTTATTCATTGTATTATGTTTTGCATGAGAAATAAAACCATTTGAAAATATTTGAAAATTAATTTTGTATGATTTTCGAGGAAGGCACACATTAAAGTTGGTAATTATTTTGTAAATATCTTCGTTCGTATAGGACTATATACTTCAAGTTTTGTTTAAGGTTACAAGCAGGAGAGTACGCAGGGGGGGGGGTCGAACCCCCCTCCCCCCTTAATCTTTTTTTTAATGAAAAAATGCGCTCTTACCCCCCCCCCTTACCCCACTTATTCAGCGGTTGGCTGAGTCTTTGCGAAATTTTCGGTGCGGTTTTCAAATTTTAACCCCCCCCCCCCCCCTCGAAAAAAATCCTGCGTACGCCCCTGGTTACAAGTATTGTGGGGAATAGGTGGATCTAAGATATGACATGTTTTTGAAAAAGTACAAGGAAGAGGTAGCCTAAATCAAGTTAAAGTCGATTTCAGTTGATGAATACCATACGTGTATGCTATGCTATTCCTTGTGATTTGTTATACATTAAAATGGGCTACATTATTATATGTACATACTCATTTTTGTATCAGCGCTCTGATCACTTTCAGCGATAAGAACCAATTATTATTATCATTATTGTATTTGTTATTATTATTGTCATTATTATTATCATTATCATTATTATTAGTATTATTATAATTACTATTAGTATTATTATTATTATTATTATTATTATTATTATTATTATTATTATTATGCCATGGTTATAAATATTTTTCGATGAAAGTACAATGCCATGCCCATTATTGTATTAACTCAGATTTGTTTACAATTCAAAGCAATTGAATGTTGGAAATGAGACATTGACAAATGTATGTATGCCGTTAATATAAAAGCTAACTCCAGTACTAATTATGAATAAACAATGTGGCTGTGTAAATTGGGTGTATGTTGATGGCAGTTATATATTAATTTAGAAAGGGCGAAAAGGTAAATTCTTTCATTTTTCTACCAATTGTAATGGTAAAAAAAATAGAAAGAAAATAGATATAATAGAAGATTAAAAAGATGCGAATAAGCGCTAATAGTAACTTCTATCTGCACATGTCGAAAACAGGTCCTTATAATATACACACATTATGTACATGTATTTACTTTAATTATCCATCTTAAAACTTACATTTGCTACTTCTGTACATTATAGCCAACCTTTGATTCTAAAATATGTGCTTTCAGGCCAAGACTATTACTGCCTTGAAACATTAAAGTTTGTCAAATGATCCTTCATTGCTTTTTCAATCATTATTGTATTTCCGTTCTGTTAAACATGTTATGTTTACATTATTGCTTATAGTTTATTGCTACCTTAAAACTCTGCCACTTAAAACGTATTATTATATTCTTTTATCAGATTATCAAGTTAAATGTAATGGATGATATATGTTTTGAATCTTTGACGTTTAGTTTTGAGTTTGTTTTATAGTACTATGTTCATTCTAGTGTTACCCTATACGTGTTTCAGTGATTAAAGTAATAATTAGGGTCCGGTACGCTCCTAAGATGTTAATTTTAGTGTTTAAAGACACTATGTCCCTTTTGCAGCCAACATAAAATTATGTAGAACTTTGCAGGAATTATTAATTTGTCATGACATGCCCTATCTGTGAAATGTAAACATTAGCAGTGTCCTAGTATTCAAATTATGCAAGGAAACCCGTTTACCTTCTAGACTTTACTGTCAGTCACTATTGAGTGACTGAAATTTGTTTTCTTTGGTAATACATTGTAACATATACATAAAATAAGCTGTAACAGGTGCATAAGCATTTGTCTACACCAGTAACCCACTATTTGTCATGGCCAAAATTAAACTGATTGAATATTTTGTGCAGCAGAAAACGTACGACCATTCGGTAAATTGGTCTGAAAATCAGATTATTACTTAGGTGATTGCAATCACTTAAGTCGATCCGACAACTAATAATTGTTATTTTCCCCACTAAAAGCCATTTTTCAAGCCCTTTCGTTTTGAGGGAAGTTCTAATTTCGTATTGTCCTTCAAATGCCGTTGGAATTTTACCTTTTCATTGTTTTGGCTTGCAAATGGGACATAGTACCTTTACCATAGAGTAATATGATCAGAGAGTATAACATCGATAGCAAAAAGGCTTCAAACTACCAATATTAATAAATGGCGTAGGTTCAAGAGCTTCTTGAATCGAGATGGTTTATTGATGCGTTTTCTTTTAATCATCGCAGTCATAAAAACTGAATTGTGATTTTGTACAATAACTGGGATCGAATATGAAACAAAATTTATGATGGGGAAGGTGCTACATTGCTCCATTCTTTGATAGGTGGTAGCAACTTAGCAAGTGATGATGCTACTACCAGTTTTCCCGTATCTTTAAAATCGTTAGCAGAAAGGTTCCATTTGAGAGCAAGGAGGAGTGGGGCGGGGTGGGGGCGGGGGGTTAAAGCAAAAGTGCCAACATATTGACAGGAATCATTAACGTTCAGTATAGATCTTTAATATCCATTTGGATTAATAATGCCCCCATTCCCTCTTCCCCTCCCGGTAAGACTGCTCTCTTTTAATAGCAGTGATATGACTACTATAAAGGAATGTTGAAATATATTTTATACGGAGGGTTTACGGTTTCTTTCTGTAAATAACCAGAATTTGTCATTCGAACTTAAATTACAGATCATTTTTTCGTCATTATTTATCTTTTGCGTCATTTTTGCAGCAAATAAATGCAATTTTTCTTGATAAACATTTCTTAATCGTGTTAATGACTATAATTATTTCGGTTAGCAGATTGAATCCAAGCAGCAAACCTATACAGCAGCTTCAGTCACGAGAAATTGATCTTTTTCACGGTATGGTCCTTCATGATTTTAATCAATTACCATAATGATAAAACATTATTTCACGAAACTGCATTTAAATATTATGATTAATACTGGAAAATATTATAACGGATTTCATCGCCATGACGATCATGACGATCACTGATTGGACATGGCACTCTCTCTCTCTCTCCCTCTCCCTCTCTCTCTCTCTCTCTCTCTCCCTCCCTCCCCCTCTCTCCCTCCCTCCCCCCCTCTCTCTCTCCCTCCCCCTCTCTCTCTCTCTGTCTATATTCACCTTTTTTTTCTGTTTTCTCTTCCCCTCCTATAGCGATCTCTCCTTTTCCATCATTCTGATATACTCTCTCTGTTCATGTCTCTCTCTCTCTCTCTCTCTTCACGTCTTCCTTATACCCTTCCTCTATAATTTTCTCTACATCTTTACTCGTTCTCTCTCCCCCAACCCCCTATCTCTCTGTTCTTCGCCCTCTCTTCTACTTTACTCCCCCCCCCCCCCTTACCGATCTCTGCTACTCCATCATTTTGTTGTTCTTTCTCTTTGAATCATTCTATCTGCCCCTTTCTCTGTTTCTCTCTCCCTCTTGCTCTTCATGTCATCCTTACTCTTCAGCTATATCTTGCTCTCTTTCTGGCTTTATCTACATCTCTCCTATAATTATGTCTGCATGTGTTTTTTGCCCCCTCCCCCTATCTCTCTCTCTCTCTCTCTCTCTCTTTCTCTCTGTCATTTAAAGGTAAAGACCAGTATTGGAAACGCCCCAATTTCAAAAAATGAAATGGACGCTCTTATTATCAATCATGTGAAAGAATATGTTTTGACTAATACATGATGATAACAGTTTTGCCGGGAAACCGCCTACTAATTGATATATTTGGTAAATTAGTTTATCTACATGGTCTGTGAGAGATAAACGCACGTGTCGCGCACGTGTGCGTATAGTCCCATATACATCTTTCTGTGTACAGTGCTTGTAACTTTACGAAGACTGGGCCATATTTCTTATCATTTTGATGATTCCAGAACCTTGCAGTACACACCAATACTTATATGCTAGATGATCAACCTTTTCTGATCGATTCCACAACGTTTCTTTCACAATGCAATCACATGACCATAACTGGTCTTTACCTTTAAGTCAAGTTATTTTCACATTACACTTTTCCTAAATTGTCATAGATGTGTATTCAATGAAACTCAGTTTTAGAAGTCGATTTTAGTTGCTACTGTCAACATCGTTTAATGAGAATACATTAATGAAATTCAATGCGTTGAATATGCCTAATATCATTGATCCATCGCAATGAGCAACACATAATCCTTGGAAACTTACACATTCAAATACAGGAAAGAGTTAGCATTGTTAGACGACATCAACTTGGTTTGACGACTAAGAAAAATTATTCAAGAGAAGAATAAACTGTTTTGTATATTTCTCCCAATGGGGAATGGTGTTCGCCCCCGCATCCACAAGCAATATTTTAGTCTTCAGATTTTCAAATTTAAAGTGAATTATTTTATTACAAGAATTATGTAATGGGTCTAGTTGAAGGAATCAAAGTGCTTGTGGGATTTCCAAATTAGGAACAGATTAATTGCACTTTTTAAAAAAGCCCAAGGTATATTGATGTCTAGGACAAGTTGCACACATAAAAAGTTAACATTCTTTTTGTCATTAATCATGAATAAATACAGCCGAAGCAGATCAATTAGATGTTGATGGTGGTTATTTTACCCGACTGCTCAGAAAGCACAAATGCTTGTAAGCAACCAGAGGGTTTTTTCCTTGATGCTGTACAATGACTTTCATAAAAGTTACCCGTTTACATTTTGACCCAATGGAAAGTTATAACATTTGATTTATAGTCAGTAAATATATACATATATTATACTACATCCGCAGTTTCTGCTCCTATTTAATCAAAACTCATATTTTGTTTATATATGGAAAAAATAGTTTTACGAATATATTATGAAATTTACTTGATCCTTCGAAGCTATTTTATCAATCATTTTCACTCCACAAAACGTCTCATAAACATATAGTCTGCAAATAAACAAAGGATAACTATTATCACAAGGCTCCTTAGTGTTCATAAGGAAAATAAATTTGAGTTTGTAAACTCTACTTATATAGGAACACACGTACACACACACACATGACACTCCGAGGAATAGATGGACTCGTTAATCCATTTTGACTCGATGATTACCGTTCATTTCGTTCGAATGACGATTCTTGACATCTTTCTTCGGCCCCATCGTGATATAAGCATTGTAAAAGAATTGCGCAAAAAGCACGAAATAGCTGAAATACATGACGAGCGACCAGGCGACATTTTGGTACGTCGTATCGCATTTCCTTCCCGCGTTCAATTGGAAAAGCGCGTAAACGTTGACGGCGCATCCGATCACCATTTGGAAGAGCTGCATGAGCGTGATGGTGATGTTCACTTGGCGGGGTATTTTGACGAAGCCGGATGCTCGTAGAGCGTAGTAGCTGTACATGACGGCGTGCACGGTGAAGTTGGCGACTATGAAATAGCGAGCTGGAGCGATTTGATCACGATACGAGTACCAAGCGTAGAGGAGGACGGTGATGTGATGATACCAGTGCAGAAACATCAGCTTCTGTTTTCGAAGCACGATGAAAACGGTGTCGCCCAGCTCGGGGACCTTGCTTAGGATGAAGAGCCATGTCCAAAGCCCGATACGGCCGTCGAAGATAGTTGCATCGCATACCGAGCTATGCCAGCCGTCGTGGGACAGGTAGTCGACGAGCTCGCGAATGGTGATGATCGCACCGGCGATGCTGAAGACGGCCAGGCCGCCCGACCAGGCGGTGAGAGCCCTGCGGAGTTCAAACTTGGGCCGATTCTCCATCCATGCCCGCCCCACGAAGACCCCGACGAAGTAGATGGTCGAGAAGATAAAGGCAAGCCACCAGTTTTTAAGGAACCAGACGTGTTGCTTATCCGAATCAAAATTTTCTTCCAAATGTTTTATCCAAGGCAGAGCCATGTTAGAAGCTCAATTCACATTAACACTAGAGAAATTGAGTCTGAAATGATGAAGTAATGATGAAATCAAATAATCCTAAGGCTGAAGGTGAATAAAATTAAGTAGCACATTCATTCACTCCCGTTGAGATTGAATCAACTATCCACTAGCGCAGCATCGTTGCTAATGTTTCAACAAAACGTGTTTAACCAAATGTTTGCATCCTTTTGAGGAAAAAACAAACAGACCTGTAGGTTATTACAACGCTTCTCAGATTTGTATTTTTCCACCCTCGATCTGTCGTCTGCTAGAGCTAAAGCCGCAAATAGTCTGTTTGAATAGCGAACACACCTTGAGTACTCGATCTGTGCTCAACGTATCGTATCAGAGAAATTGCTATGACTCAGTAAATTACGGGTGTTTCTGAATTGTGAATCAAAATGGTAGACAAAAATAAACCTATTACTCAAAATTGTTCAGGTCTACGGCGAATTGTATCCATGAAGAACTACAAGATAAGCTTCGAATGTCCTAACTAGTGAAAATAAATTTAGCGTGCGATAAATATCAAGAGTACTTCGGTCAGCTATGATCTTACACACCCCCGTCATTTAATATAATGGGCGCGCCCAAATTTTGTTGACCTCGTGTAGACTCACGTTCGTTCAGAGCGTGATCGCCGCTGTCGAACAAATACGTATGTTTATTGATGTTATTGTTCGCTTTCAACTTCGACCTCTGGAATTATGCAAGAAGAATGATCGTGCGATATTCTGATTGCTCGTGCATTAACACAAAGGAACTATTGTTCGTTGAGCAAACTCTAAGCTTTTTAGCATGTAAGGAAAGTAGTAAAAAGTCATATTTCACTAGATAAGACAGAAATCGAAGTGTACATTGGATTTAAGCATGAAGGCTGGTTTCAATCCAATAAGTATAAGGTACTCGACCAAAAGTTCGTGATGATCATTTGAGCAACGTGATTGGTCAGAATTGGGGGTGTGTCGAAGGCATGGCATGGGTGTGCGTTTCATGCAGCGCATACGATCGTTCGGCCTGTTCATCATGGATGAGCGAATACACCGGTTGAATTACATTTCAAATCTATTGATGTTTCTTTCCTGGGAACCTTGTGACGGGTATTCCATTAACCTGCTAATAATGAATGAAAGATGTGTGCATTAAATTTTTTAACATTAGGAAATGGTCTATTTTCTACCAGAATGCATGTTCGCGTGGATAGACAATATTTGCCTAACAAACTATACCGTTTAAGTCAAGTTTAAACTTAGAAAATTTGTCATTTATTTCAAAAGTCTGCTATGAACGAAAGGTTATCATACATATTTTGAAAGAGTGTTATATCTCGAATCGTTTGGTAATATTTCTGTGTGGTATGTGTTCACGCTTGGATGAACAGGCATTGTTTGCGAGAGTGCAAAAATCAGCTTGCGCGAAAGTATCAGAGTGAGTGGATTGAATGTATCAAATAAAATGCATTGCATTTGCTCTTTGCAGAAACAAAGTCACACACACACGCGCACAAATGTTCTTTGATATTTGATATATAGATATGTGTGGCATGATTAATTTTGTTGGGGATGTTATTTGGATCTGCAAAGACCGAATTAATACCCGAATCCCAATTGTTATTTTCAAACATCACATGTACTACTTTGGCGCAAGTCGATGTTTGCACTCTCCTAAACAATGGCTCCTGTTCATCCAAGCGTAAACAGATACCACAAACACATGATATCAATTGATTTGGGATAAAACACTCTTGCATAAGATGTATAATAATTTAATGTTCATAGATGATTTTAAAATAATTAGCAATTTTCTAGGTGTTAATTTTGTTTTGACTCACACTGTATAGGGTTTGCGGAGCGTCTTCTAAAGAGAGCGGGGGTGCACAACAAAATGGGCACTTTTGATTAAAAAGGTAAACTCCAAAGCGAAAATATACAATGTGTAGACATTGGGATATAGGCCTAAGTTGTGATTACATTATCAGGGATGATTTTAATAGTTGTTTCTCTCTTTACATGTGACAGTTGGGTGTGATGGTCTGAATACTCATTTCCGAGCGAGCCGGAAGCGATTAAGATTGTTGAGGTCGCAGAGCATACAAATTGCATCTTTTAAAGAGGAAAACTCCAATCCTGATAAGAATTTAAGCCCAATTGAATAATGAAATACTGAACCAACCTTTAATAAGTAACATAAGTATATCAACCATAAATACAAGCGTGCGTATAGCGAGCAGGATTTGGGGGTGATTTAAACAAAAATTGCTCTTAGTAGCTTCAAATTAGGGGCACATGTCATGGAGATAGGAAAAAAGGTCATGTGTAAGGGGGGTAGTGTGCACTAAAAATAAATTCTCGTTTCGCGCCGGCCGATATTTCGCTCAGTGGGGGGAGGGGGGGTTGACCCCCTCGAGCAAAAAAAAAGGTAAATATCTGATCACAATCTTTTTTTTAAAACTTTTGGGGAGTAGGGGGTACAAGGCCCGCTCGTCAAAATATTGCCCAATAGATGGTTTGGTTGACTCTCATGCCCAACCTTTTCAAAGTGTATCGATGTGTCACGAAAGTGGTGTTTTCATAATGATTATTGGCCTCCTTTAAATTTATATTTATATGGAAGACTTTTAGAAGTCAGCTGTTACAGTCCAACTAACATCTTCTAATCTGTCCTGACTAAAATGTGCAATGTTGTTTAATTTCTGAATTCTTTGTTGAAAAACTTGCTTGCTGTACACTAATAGTGTATAAGTGTTTTATAAATGTTGAATGTCTAGTCCGGTTAATAATAGCACCTAATGATTTTATTATTTGACACATTATCCTATCGATAAGCGTAACGATTTGCTTTAGTATCATATAATAATAAAGGATTTTCCTGAAAATTGCATTACAACGTATATTCAACGTCATGGAAAATGTAGTATAATTATACAACAATGATCTAAGACCAATGATTTAATTGAAAAAAACTTACGTTTGATATTGAAGCTGTTGCCATTTGTATATACATGAACTTCAAATAATAAGTAGCCTTGAAAGTGTCGCAATATATCAAGTGTGAATGAGCTTGAAGTTCAATGGTGTAGGTTTGTTTGAGACTATATAGCCTTTACACTGTTTCATTTATAATGAGATATATCTCCAATCAAATCAAACTGAGTGATGTTATGGAACAACTTAACAATATCAATCTTCTATTCTCCTGAATAAACCTGGGAAACTTGAAAATTACATTACAATGTAAATTCATCGTTAGTGGAAATTTAATTCCAAATACAACAATGGGCAAATAATTGATTCCAGACCAATGATTTAAGTGAGAAGAACTTACATTTTATATTGAAGCTGTTGCTGTTTGTATAATACTTGAAATAATGAGTAGCCTTGAAAGTGTCGCATAAATAATCATGTGTGAGTGAGCTTGAAGTTTAATGGCTGCCTGCCGTAGCAACAAACAGAGTTGACAAAAGACTTAACTCCGTTTCGTTGACGATCAGCCATGCATCAAGTCTCTCGTCTTGCTATTTAACATCTTACCTGTACTAAATTTCCATTTTCCTTAATAAACCATTACACAGAATAATATTTCTAAATATGGTGCCTGGCTGGATGGGGATCGCATTCTGCTTAAAGGTAAAGACCGGTAGTGGTAAAACTTGCGGTTCAAGGGTTTTGGGTGCAGACTGCAGAATATCCATTCAATATTGTTTAAATATTGCCTTCAGAGGTTTAGATAGCAAATTCGCCGGAAAACAGAAACATGGCGATGCACAAAATGTTCAATGTTGAAGTGCATTCGCGATATGTATCCAGGCCGGATCGATATGATAATTTACCAAATATATCAATTGGTAGGCGGTTTCCCGGCGCGTCCCGGACAAATTTCTTATTTGTTTCAACCCACAGAATGTATGACTCAGGATTTTTCTTTTTTTTAAAGGACCTTTAACAATATACCATCAATAATAAATTTATAGCAGTGCCCCAAGGGAGAAGGCATTTGGGAGAAACAAATTTTTTTAATGATGATATTTCGTACGCGACAAACGTACGCCACTAAGCCAAAATCCACAGACCAAGTTGTCAATCTGAGATTCACGTAGATTTAGTGATCTCATATTTCAAACATTCTTAAATCTCAAATTATTGGTCCAATTTATTTCAAACTTCACCATTTTGTTTCTCTTATTTTTCTGCCGTCATACAAATAATCTTATAACACAAGTTGGGGTGACCTTTACATGGACACTAATCCTTCTTAATTGACTACTGTAACACAGCGATTATCAGGAGTTTTTTGTTTCAGAACAGATTATAGATCGTTTATTAGGTGAATTATCCAATGTCAAGTTATATAATCTGACAATGCCATTACAACTATCAGTGGAGGTTACTTTTAAAAATAGTAATTAGTTATAGTCGTACGTTTCTGAGCAACAACCAAACCATTATCAGTATGTTTGTGAAATAAATCTTCACCCTCATGACTTTTGCAGCCCCAAAAGGGTTTTAATTATCAAGGGCGATTCCGTGCAACGTGTTCAGTACAATGTCAATGCATGTCTTTTTCCCCATTTTTTACACATTCTACATCCTATCATGAACAATCTGAATTATGGTGTTTTGGGCAGCATTATCATTAAAATCATTTTATCAAGAGTTGTTTTTCGATTCAATATTATTCATTGACTATATTATGGTTGTCATTATGTCGTACGGGACACGTTGTTGGATTCGCCCTCATAATGATTCCATCGACGAAAAATGTTAATAAATACCCCGATAAATACACCTGAAGGCTAAAGTCCCATTTAGATATGACGAAGCAAAACCTCAGCGGTTTTCCCCCTATGATGACGTAAAGTGTAACATTTCTGTGAGGATGACAATGACAGTTACATTTATACTCATGTCACCCATAATCAGGATATTTGAGAAAACAATTATATATGTACAAATAATATATATTATTTAACCAAGTAGATACATTACGTAGCATTTGACGTTTATCATTTGTGAACATGACTTGTGCACATAAAAAGGATAATTCCAAGGTTTTGTTGCGCGCAGTTGCCATTCACTTGACACGTAAAAAGACCGCGGCGGTTGACCGCGCCATTCTTTATTTGCGGCAGTTTACCGCACCATTCTTTATTTTTTCCGGCGGTTGACCGCGCCATTTCTGAACAAGCGTTGAGGGTGAAAGAGAAGGGAAATTATCCACGTGACACTGTACATGTTATCCCGATCGTAAACAAATTCTAGCTTGTATTTTAAAGAAAATTTCTCATTGAATCAATATAACTAGTTGAAATCATGAAGATACTCAAACAAA